GTTTATTTTATTTATTTATTTATCTATTTTATTTATTCATTTTATTTATTTTATCTTATTTTATTTGTTCGTTTACTTGTTCACTTATTTGTTGGTTTATTTATTTATTTACTTAATTAATTAATTAATTAATTTATATTTATTTATTTTATTTATTCTTTTACTTGTTCACTTATTTATTGGTTTACTTATCATTTATTTATTTATTTATTTACTGTGTTTATTTATTTTATTTATTTTGTTCGTTTATTTGTTCATTTATTTATTTGTCTACTTATTTATTTATTTATTTATTCAGAATGAAAGGAGGGGGAGCATCCATCATTCCATGCATTTAGTTCATTCATTTCTTTTAGAATAAATAGATAATCATTTACGTATCTTAAATCTATGAATTAATTTGTTGCAACTTGTACGATGTACTCTCTTTTCATGACAAACTAGTTTTTTATTTTAAATGATTTTTCTAATTCAAACTGAAAGCACTTCTTGAGGGAGGTTTCTTTCAATCTGTTTTTTCATCCATTACCAAGAATTCAGGGAAAAGAAGAAAACAAATTATTGTCTCGAATGGCGGACCAATTGAGAACGGCTGTCGTAATTTTATCAAGTTGCATTCAGCCGACTGTTAAAGAAGGACAATGATGTTTAGTTGGCATAGTTTTTTCTAAGGTTTTTTTTTTTTTTTTTCGTCCATGAAGCAATACCACACACTGTTATTCATCGTAGTTTAATTGTCTGGCTGTTAAATTATTCCATCTATTTATTGTGCTAGAACGATATTTAAGATATATGAAGACGGACTAAGTTGGAGAGAAATGAAGTTTTTAAAAGGATTTCTGTAAAAACTTCTTCATATGGTCGTTCACGTTCTGTCCCTCTCTTCGCTCACATATACGATTATAACTTTTCCTTTTTTTATTATAAATCATGTTCAAAATGGTTGCCATTGATAACACGTGCATATGTATAGTTGCAATTTCGATTCGTGATGACGAGCTTTCTTTTTCTATAAATGTCCCAGATTAAATTTATTAAAATAGTTGTTTCTGAGTTACTTGATTTACTTGATTTCGAGATTTCAGCGTTTGCTATGCCTCAGTTTCTCTTTTCTTTTTGCTAAATTTTGTTAAGATAAAAATTTCAAATTTAAATGTCTGAATTACTACAACAAACACGGATCATAGTAAGTACATCTACATCATTTCCCGTATTTTTTTTCCCCCCCCCCCCCATCAATTTTTTTGATATTTGAAGCCTTTTCTCATGCAATTATAGAAGTAGTAATTTTAATAGATTAAAATCAAATGATGATATTCGTCCACATAAATCCTATCCTTGTCGCATATATTGCTGGTTATTTGTTTGCAGCACTGATCGATCTCGTGTTCCTTTTGACAATTAAGTTATTTTTTCAGGTTCTTAGTTTTTACTGGTTTCGAAATTTGCAAGTTCAAGTAAGGATAGAAAGCTGTGGAAAATGCATGATGCGTTTATGATTTCGAATGTGCGCTTAACGCATGTAGAATAGCATTTTGGCAGATCATAATTTCGCTTTGTCATTAGATGTATATGACATGAAGAAAGTAGAGAAAGGAAGGCATGAGAGTGCTATGTGAGAGTTTACACAAAATTGTAAGTTTGTCGGAGATTATTTACAACTCCTCCTTTCTGCTGGCGATTTATTGAGCTTCATACCAATAAACGCAAATAGCAGAGGTTTGATTCCATTGTTTGACTGCTTTTATCCATATTTTACGAGTTCATTTTCACTCATGATTTAAAATTGCAAAAAATTTGTAATGCATTCCATCAATCCTTTTCCCTTTGTGCCTTCATTACTTTTATTATACATCCATTTCACTTCAGTCCCTTTTTATGATTAGTAAATGTTGAATTCGTTCTATGATTCTCAGTGCGAGATGCATTAATGTTAATTTATTCGATGTTATGAGTAATTAAACTTAAGTGTAAAATTGTCTTTCAAGTAGTCAGATATGCGTATGCGCGCGCTTCATCGGTGATAAGGAATTGGTAGAGTTTACAGATGAAGCATTAGCATGCAAGCTATTTATGATCGGGAGTTATCGGTTTGTTGCACAAACGTTGGTTGTATATTTATATTAGAATTCATACATTCCATTTGTTAATGAACAAGATTATGTCACAACTTAATCTTCGATTTAGCATTAGGTGTTGGATTATTCCAAAATTTAGTTGACAAGGAATTAATTATCAAAATAAGAATAGGAATTAGATCTGGAATCTTGAATTATGTGGAATTCCTAACTTTTGAAACTTCGATTCTATAGACTGTCACGTTCTATATAAAGGTGTGTCTTTTATGGAAGCGATGGGGAAGTGATATTTTGACAGATTTGATAGTGAGGTGAGAGACGGATGAGCATTGGGAAAGTTTGTGGTAGTTTACAGATAGTGGTTAAAATACAGCTGATGTAGTAGTTAGTGGTGCTTGCTATCTCAATTCCACCGTTCTGTTCTTGTTTTTTTTTTTTCGTAAAATGTTGGTTAAAGAGAGGACAGCTTTGCTATATTGATTAGCTTCATGTCCTTTTTGTTTGAATTTTTGTGAATTTAATTCATTCGGCGACTTTATCCGTAGTATATGATTCGTTGATTGGTTGATGATCACCAATACAATCTGGAAGGGTTTGTAGAGATGTCATATGCCTAATATCATCAAATTATCTTTTTTGATGCACGGAAATATATTGATTGATAAGTAATAATAGACTATCCATTTCACATGCACATACAACTTTGTAACTTATCTATGATAACCTTGAAAAATAAGACTGAAAATTAAGCATTAGTTTGCTTGTCGATAAAGTTATAATGGTATATACTAATCGATGGATTATGACTGTGTTCTATTTCACTCAAAGGTTATTAATTCACTATGGCCTCGAAAATTTGAGTAATTAAACTATGAAAAAAAAAGTGTTTTAATAACTGACATCCGGCATGTGAGTGCCCGGACGATTATTCTGTGACAAGAGGATTGGTAACTGATCCATCTGATTGGAACTTTGTGATATAGAACAGTTATACTTAAATCATATCTCATTATTTCGTATTGTAGATTAGTAGCTAGCTAATGGTCGTTAAAAAAAAAAAATAACTGAATAGGAGGGAGTTTTAGGGGGGTGAATTTTCTGGAGGATAGGAAGTGAAATATATATGTATATATATATATATATATATATATATATATATATATATATATATATATATATATATATATATATATATATATATATATATATATAT